TGTTTTTAAACTCCTAAAAATTCTAAGAGGGATGGGTGCCTTGCTTTGAAGCCTTAATATCCACAGAGAGTTGAGGTGACTCACCATGTTTTGAGAACTCCACAATTTATTTAGCAAAGAAACAAAAATAGTAGTTCCATTTGAATGAAAGGGCTTAGTGACATTTGACACTGCCTTTTCTTTTTTTTTTTTTTTTTTTTTTTTTTTTTGGTCTTTTTTGTTTTTATTGGTACCAGTGATCGAACTCACGACTGCCTGCTTGCAAGGCAGGTGCTTATGCCGCTGAGCTAAATCCCCAGCCCCGACACTGCCTTTTCCTGGGCTGTCCAAGCCCAGCTCTGGAGGATGTCCTGTTTTCCCAGCACCCTCCGCGGCAGCCTTGAGCTGTCCCCAGGTGGACACTGGGGCCACACAATCCTTGCAGCTTTCCATTCTATTGTAATACAACTCATTTAGCATACTTTCAATTTATTTTCTTTGTCATTGGTTTAAATAACGTGGACTATTTGAAAAAACATGGTGCGATGTGAAGAGCATTCAGATACTGAGGACATGAACCCGACTCTCAAGGCCAGCTCTGTCCCCCTATGCCCAGCCAGACAGCTTAAATGCCTTGGGGCACATTTACACCCATGAGGACCGGCTTGGGTCTTGAAGGGATCCCTTTAGCTTGACAAGTCCGTGATTCCATGACTGAAGAAGAGGAGGAGGGAAGAGATGGAGGGATATGACTTAAAAGAATGCTGCCTGCGTGACATTTTTCTTGATGACTTCTAAGCACTATGACCTGGCACGGTGTAGCAGTGAGGGCACGCGGGTGGTTCCGAGCTGGGACTCACTCGTGACCAAGGTTGTTGTGGTGGTACGTGTACTGTGTGGGTCAAGGAATGGTGCAGGCTGCTTGGGTGGGCTGCAGGCTGGGGTCAGCTGGGAGCCAGGCGCCCCCTGCAGTGCTGCAGGACAGCATCTGTGGGTTGGCCAGGTCCCCGTGTCAAGTGGAGGTGTGCCACCGTCTGAGCAGCTCTCTGGCAGCAGAGACAGAATCGTTCATTCCTTTGTGATCTAATGTGTAGAGCTTGGAAATTGATCTCCAGGGCTCGAACCGAGAGTCCCAGGTGCCTTTTATGCCCAGAGAGAGACAAACCTGAGGCTTCTAACCTCCTCTTGAATTAACTACAGAGCAATTCCCTGTGGCATTGAAGCCACCGTCCCTTTGAGTTGCTGTCTGTCCCCTGGGCTTGGTGGAAAGCAAGGAAAAAGCATCTGGTTGATGTGCCCTCCATTCTCAGTACCAAGTTTTTGTCCCTGTGCTTTTCCAGTCGGGAGATTTTTTTGTGCTTTTGACCACTTTGTCCTCCGTGTTCCCTGTCCTTGAGGGCAGGTTGATTTGATTCTCATTTGTACCGATCTTTGGGTCCATAAAGGAGCTGCTAAACATCGCTCTCCTTTGTTATTTTACCTCTTGCAGTCTTCAGTTTCACTTGAAAATGTGTTTCTGATTCATTTGAAAAGGGGCCCTTGCTCCTAGTTCGGGGCTTGTATTTCAAAACAAATGATATCAGAGTATCTGAACAGAATTTAAAAACAGATGAATATGATGGTTTTCCAATTTGTATGCCACGCATTGGACAGAATCAGGATTTTTATTACTTCCTAAATGTGCGACTTCTCAACCACTGGTGAGGAAAGGAGCAGCTGCTGTTTTAACTTGGTTTGTGATCTCTCTCACCTGTGTTTGGAATGTGTCAGGTCATAAAAGAACATAGACGAGGGATCCTAGAACCAGGGGTATGGAAGACAGCAAATGCTTAGAATTGATACCAAGACAGTCTTCTTTTATGGTGTCTTCTGTTTTTCTTTTTTGGTAGAAATTGAGTCCAGGGCCTCGGGCATCCTAGGAAGAGCTTTACTACTGAGTTACACCTATGGCCTGTGTTTTTATTTTAAAAAAAAAAAAAAGTCATACCAGAGAAAAAGTATGATACTTTACAGCAATGATTTACAGTTAGGTGTGGTGACATATTCCTATAATCCTAACATTTGGTGAGAGTGAGGCAGGAAGATTGCAGGTTTGAGCCGAATCAAGATTTAAAAAAAAAATTAAAAAGGGATTGAGGATATAGCTTTAGTGTAAGGACATAGCTCAACCCTCAGTACCAAAACCCAAGACAAAACAAAGCAAAGCAACCCCCTATGATTTAAAAAAAAAAACGAGTTTATAACTGATTTAAGTTTGTGACTTTCAGTTGTTAAGGGAGTCAGCTAAAAAATGTTATCTAAGGCTAAATATTTATAAATTTTAATGTTTATAAATCCTGTTCACAGAATTTTATCTTAGCTTGCATTTATTTATTTATTGTCCTAAGATTTGAACTCATGACTTTCACACTGAATTACATTCCCAGCCCTTTTTTAAATTTTGAGCCAAGAAATTGCTAGGTTTCCCATACTGGGCTCAAACTTGTGATCCTCCTGCCTCAGCCTCCTGGAATGTTCTTTTAGCTCTTGGTTTCTATCTCTCCCAGTGGACTAACAGATATCTGTGCTGGTCCTCTCTTAGATTCCTTACTGTTGTCCTGTTTTAATTTTATATCATCTGCCTCCTGTGAACTTGAAGCATGCAGTGCTATTATTTTTCATTTATACTGTCAGTGTTTGTGGAGTTTGCCACGTTTGTCATGTATTCATTTTTTGTTCCTTTTTTGAGGACCTTGCATCTGGGCCAGGTCCCCTCCTCTTGAAAGAAGTCTCTGTTAAGGAACTCCTTCGATGAGAGACTAGTTGGTTTCATCACTCTTCCTTTACCTGAAAATGTCATTATTTTATGTTTCTTGTTGATAGTTGTTCAGACATTTTTCCTCCGCGCTTGGAGATTTTGTTCCGTTGTTGTCTAGTTTCTAGCTGTGTGAAGTAGTTACTGCTTGCTTACTCTCCATCTTTCTCTGCTTTTACCATCTTCTTGTGGGATTGTATTTGTAGATGTAGTTTAAAAAAATTCGCCCTGCTTTAGATTTCTTGGTCTTTTGGAATTGAACCATTCATCTCTTAATAACCTTAGAGAATTCTTAGCACTGTTTTTTGTCTGTTTGTCTGTCTGTTGGAGACAAGGCCTTGCTATGTGGTACAGCCTGGCCTCGAACTCCTAGCAATCCTCTTGCCTGCACCTCTCAGGTGCTGGGATGACAGGTGTGCGCACCATGCCTGGCAGCAGTGTTCCCCTAATATTGTCTCCATTCCCTTTATTACTTTTTCCTAAAACTTTGATCACATGGGTGTTTGATTGCATGAATTATCTCATTCTACCTTCTATGTCTCTTGGTGGCCGCTTTAATGTTTTATGTCTCTGTGTCCCATTCTAATTTCTTCAGATGTGACCCCTCAGTTGACTAAGTCTCACTTTAGCTGTGTCTAAATTGTTTTACATGTATATTGAGCTTTAATTATAATATTTTTATTTCAAAATTTTTTGTTTTCCTTTGAAATATTTCTGGTCAATTTTTGAAGTTTCTGACTCATTACTAATGTTTAAAGTTCCTGCTTTATTGTATTTATTTACTTATTTAGTCCTTTTGAGACAGAGTTTCATTACACAGTTCAGGTTGGCTGTGAGCCCACTTTGTAACCCAGGCTGGTCTCAAACTCAAAACAATGCTCCTGCCTCCCAGTGCTGGGATTATAGGCATACATCACCACACCCAGTTTTCTGCTTTATTATTTTAAATGCATGAAATTTCTTCCCCTAACCCCTACTGGGAATTAACCAGCCTTGCCCTCCCGTCCTTCTTCCTCCTGCCCCACCCTTTCTCCCCCTACCACTTCTTATTTTGAGACAGGTTTCTCACTAAATTGCACAGACTTTCAGTCCTCCTGCCTCAGCCTCCCTGAGTGCTGGAATTATAGGCATGTACCACCATGCCTAGCTGAGGACAGGTAGATGCCTAGGACACTGGCCTGCTGCAGTGGGAGGGAGGACTCCCTCTCTGTGCCTGGAGCCGTCTGGGAACAGCTGGGAACTGCTGAATTCTTGTTTTTTTTTTTTGTTGTTGTTGCAATTTTTATTTAAAAATATTTTGCCTTGTGTGGTGGTGCATGCCTATAACCCCAACACTCAAGAGGCTGAGTACCTCTGGGAGTTCAAGGCAGCCTGGACTACATAGTGAGTTCAAGGCCAATCTGTACTACATAGTGAGAGCCTGTCTCAAAAATTTTTTTTTATCAGTCCACATTTGCAGTACGTAACGATCATATTCCTTCTACGGGATTGGCATGTGTACGTAACTATCTCAATTCTTTCATCCCTCCTCTCTTCCCTCTCTCCTCTCTCCATCTTTAGTCCCCTTCTCTTTTGCAAAAGACCTATCTTCCTCTTCCCTGTGATCTGTCTTTTACTTTGCTCTTTGTTTATTTTTGGGGTTTCTCATGTAGGAGAAGCCATGTGATATTTAAATTTGTGTGTCTGATTTATTTCTTGCAATATTCTGGTCTCAAGGTGCACCCATTGTCCTACGAGTGACCCCTTACCGGGGCACTGACTGGTGCTGACAAGAGTCACTCTGTGCATTTCTCAGGACCTGGCCCTAATCCTGGAAGAGAAAACACAGGCTTTAGGGTTGGGGCTGTCTTCTTTTTCCTGGTGTGAGGAGTAGCCAGAACAGTCCAGACACCTCCTAAACGTCCTGTTTTTGCCTTCTCTTGTGTTACGGGTCTAAATGTGCACTGTTGGAGAGTAAGAGATCAAAGTATGCAAATGTGTACATAAACATACCCTTTTGGGTGAAGGCTGTGCTCAAGTTGGTGAATATTTGCAGATGTAGCTCCCAGCCAGTGCAGTCACTCTGGCAACGTCTGGCTTCGACTCGCTGAGTAACGTCTAGCGATGAGCCATGGGTATTTACAGTGAATGGATGTTTGTTGAATGAAGGTATTTTTATGCCTGCAACCAGACATCAGCCGTGTGATTTTCATTGCACCTGGCTAACCCAGCTTTGCTTTTCTTGCAGATGAGCTCTCCGCGGTACAGCACAACCTGTCTTTATCCTCTGAGGAGTTCCTGCCAGAGATGAGCACGGCGTTCAGCGCTGCACATGTGGCCTTAACAGAGACTGCTCCAGGGTCCCTGCCCAGCAGGTCTCTCCTTGTCATATCCTCTCCATCTGCCACTATGTTTGATACGACTTTTTTACACCATGGGGACCAGACTCCAAGTACAGTGGATCATAGCATCTTTGTGGCTAATTACGGATCAGTGACAAGTAACGAGGTGGCTGTTGGTGATGATGACATGGATAACTTTTTGCCAGATGCCTACTGGACCTCTTCACGGTTGGTTTCCCCTGTGCCCTACATCACAGCCAGCACACTGGGGCTGCCCTTAGAAATGCCCGAGCCTCTGCCCACGCCATTGCTACCTACAGTTTCTGTGCAACAGGAAGAGATGATGTTGACCTGGGAAAACACAGTGCAACAACCATTGGCATATGTGGAGTCCCCTGGTCATTTCAGCACTTTGTGGTCGGCTTTTTCCACCTCCAAGGGCATAATTCCAACTCCTAGTAGGAACCTGGTGCTTTATCCTACAGAAACTCACAGCCAGTCATCAAGTGCGATGCCACTAGAGGCCATGGAATCAGTAACAGAGGATCTGGAGTCCCTTGTGCTCAGCTCCTGGTCTCTGGTGTCTCCACTGTCAGGTGGTGGCCTGACTCCACAGCCATCTGTCCCTTTGGGGGAAGCCTCCAAGCCCCTAGGTGATGCTCTGACCACAACCACAGAGGGAGACCCAGCTGTGACCACTGCTTCGAGTCAACCCCTAGAGGAAGCCATCTCTCCCGGACCATCCCCCTCCGTCACCATGTCTCACACAGCCCTGGCTTTTGGCAGTGTGCATTCTGCTTTGTTTGCAACCTCTCCTGCTTCTGCCTCCTTTTCTGCTCAATCAGCTGATGCTTCCTCTCTCCCCTTCCTTCCCAGCAGAGTCAGTGAAGCATCAGAATTCCCTCCCCCTTCTCTGGCCCCCAGTTGTATGGGTGGCCAGAGTCCACTGTCCTCCCCCAGACCATATACCTGGTGTGCGTCCTGTGCTGTGGCCTCACCACGGCCTGTTCCGGCCTCGAGCCTTGTGGAGGGAAACATGGGGTCAGGGGATGGGCCTGAGACCCTATTGGTGGCCACATTGCAAGTGAGCAGCCCCTCTCCATGGAGCAGCGTGGGCATGGACTTCTCTGATTTTGAGGAAGATCCTCAAGAATTTAATACGCTTTTCCCCCCTAGACCTGTTGTCTTGCTTTCTTCCAGACCTGTGAGGGTCTCAGAAGCAAGCAGCAGTCTGTCAGCTGAGGTAGATGTGAGCAGCATTGCCACCACCTGGGAATCCCTTTCCCACAGCTACCTGACTGCGCACGTGTCACCCCTTCCTGCCTCCGTCTCCTCTTCCATGGATGGTCAGGCCATGCGGTCCGTGGTGACTGCTGAGTTCTCCTCAGTGTTTGCCAGCGTCTCCCCTGACTATTCTTCCTCTGTCATGGCCGACCAAACGCCCTCATCACTTGCCACCACAGACCAAAATCTCGCCACCTCCGACAGCTGGGCTCCGTCAGTAGAGTCTTCCCTTCTCTCTGCCCACGTCCCTGCCCATAGTTTTGAACATGAACCTGGGAGTCTTTTGGGTTTTGCATCCACCTTGTACTCGGTTCCCCCGCTGGAATTCAGCAGCCTGGTCCCTTCATCTTCAGAAGTGCTTGCTCTTTCCTCTCTGACGCCAAGGGACCTGTCACCCTTCACATCCCAGCCCTTCTCCTCCTCGGCAGGGACATTTGAGTTGTCTGACTCTGTCATCTGGCAATCACCTCAGCTTCCTGCCACCCAGTCCATGAACTTTGAGTTTTCTCAGCTCTTGCCAAGTTCAGACCTTTCTTTAAAAACAGCCGCTTTTCTACCTGGTCACTCCGAAATGTCACCATTTTCAAGCTTCCCCTCGGAGTCTCTCAAGTTTGCTGAAGCCTTCACGGTTTCCTCGTTGGATTCTGAAGCTCATCTTACCTCAGCTTTCACGGAAACTACCTCCAGTTTGGGGTTTTCATTCATTCCCCATGAATCTTCAGTCACCACACTGGTGCCCGCTGGCTCGGAGCCCACCCTGGAAGTCTTGAGTGCTGGGACTCCTTTCCTGTCACCATCAACCACTTTCTATTCAACGCTTGTGCTAACCGAGTCTTCTCTGTCCTTAGCTCCGACTCCTGCTGATGACTTCATCAGAGGTACCGGTGACCACAACACTGTCTTACCCTCTTTGTCCACAGTCATTTTGACCAGTACAGCCTCGGACACCAACGTATACCTGTCCTCGGCACCCTCACTTGTCTCGGAATTGAGCCCCTCACTTGTGCCCACAGTGAGTCCCTCACTTGTGCCCACAGTGAGCCCCTCACTTGTGCCCACAGAACCAGCCGCTGTGGGTCCCTCCTCGGCACCCACAGATTCACCGTGGAATACCTCCCCTGAGCCAAACACATCTAGCGCTGGTGACACTGTGGATGGAGCCCTCGGTGGCCACACTGCAAGTCAGGGTCCCCTGGGGAGCAGCGCAGTGCCTCCCCTGCCATCTTTCCACCCTGTGAGCACTGCCACCCTCGAAATGACAGTTGGTACTCCAGCGCTGGTCACCACTAAGCCACCATACGTGTGTGACATTACAGTCCCTGATGCCTATCTGATCACAACTGGTAAGGCCTTGCTTCTGTCACCTCTCTGGGATGGGGAATCCCTCAGGTGCCTGACTCAGTACTTCTGAAACAGACCAACAGGCTACAGCGATTCCCCCCCTCTGCCACCTCCTGGGGCTCCCACGTGGTTTCTTAGGTTTCGTTTCCTCAACTATTAAACATAGATGACAGAGGCACTGCTTTGTTGGGTTACTGCAAAGATTTAAATGCATCACTGCATATGAAATATTTAGCCAAGTCCCTGGCACCTTGAAAGTACCTACAAAATGTTGCATATTACTTTGTAGTTCAAAAAGAACAAACAAGGGATGTAACAGTTGGGCAGAATTTTTGGCAAGGTCTTTGTCTCTGGAACTCATGACTGGTGTGTGCACAGAGGATGACATGCACCTGTTCTCAGGACTCCTCTGCAGGGCGATGTCCGGTGATGGTGGCCTGCATGATTGGCCCCCAGGTGCCTCCACAGGAAGCTGTTTGTGTATTCCCTGGGGTGGGGAGGATAGATACGAATGGGGAGACAGTGGCAGGGGAAGTAAAGCGGGGAGCGAGTGGACTGGATGAGCAGGGAGAGGGTAGGGAGAGGACAAGCCCGTCTCTTCCTCCCCCTGAGTGAGCGGGACACGGGCCTCTGTTCGTCACCCTCTGGGTGCTCTGGCTGCCCACCTCGAAGGGCCCTTTGTAGTTCATGTGCTGAACTCCTGTGCACTTTGCATGCAGGAGGTGCTTGTGGAGGCCACGAAGGGCAATGTGAGAGCAGGACACAGCTGTAGACCTGGCAGGCAGATGGGTGCCATGTTTTCTTGGTAGCTGTGACAATAGCAAAGTTCCCTATGAGTGCCTGAGGAGAGATTGGCGTCCATGTTAAAGTAAGAGGAGAGTGTTGTCCTCTAGGTGAGGGACAGTGTCCTCCAAATGGAGTGGGCATTCAGTGTGGAAGGAAGTTAGACCAGGTCGTAGGAGGGGTGACTCATTATGTTAGGAAGTGAGGTTGGAATGGGATGATGACCTTCCGTCAGTCTGCAGGCTTAGTCCTTGGAGAGGCGAAGAATCCTCACAGGTGGGCTACTTCTCTTCCTTTTTAAAACAAAACCATTACAAAATAGCTGTTAAGTGTTTGGTTATAAGGAGTTTGTTAGAGGTTATCAAAAGCTTCTGAGAGTCTATAGTACTTAGAATAGTAATCTTGTGTCTCTTAGAATTTTTCTACTTTAGAGGTATCTCTAAGAGACATCATACAGTAAATGTATTTTTTGTGTGTATATGGGGGTGCTGGGGTTAAGCGCAGGGCCTTGTGCCCACTAGGCAAGTGCTCTGCCACCGACCTGCGTCTCCAGCCAAATTTAACATTTCTATGTGCTATACATTGAGTGACATTTGGCGCCCTTTATCATTAGCTATCTAACCATTTAACAGCTTTGTGGGATACTGTTCATCCCTCTGAGTGTACAGTCCAGCAGACTTGGCAGCTGTGCAGGGCTGAGTGGAGGCACCAGGGTGCCATGCTGTATTGGGGGGGGGGTGATCTGAGCTGTTTGTCTGTCAACAGTAATCGTTCGACTGGAGGGTGTGTGGGCGCACCTCCAGCCCCTGTTCAGATGGGACCTCAGGAGCTTTCTCTTTGGTGCTCACCTATCAGTGCTCAAGTCCAGAGGGAGAGAATGGAGATGAGTCTCCTTCGTGGAGTTCTGTGATACACTAAGGCTGCTGCAGGTGCTGTTGAGCCGGGATGGCTTGTAGGAAGGCCCTTGTCCCTGCACTGTGATGGTTGGAAAGCTGTCAAGGACTCGTGGCCTTTTATATGAACACTGGGGTTTTGTGTCTTCCTCATGTTAACTAGAGAAGGTGGTGGTTATGGTGGAGATTGCGGGGGGTGGGGAGCCCTTTATGTCCTGAGTGGGTACCTTTGGATACCTTACCTTTAGCTGGACAGGGCTACTTGCTGTGCATACTTCTGGCTTTCCTTTACGGTCCTTCTTTTTCTGACTTCCATTCTGCCTCACTTTCTCCAAATCTAGTTCTTGAGACCCTTTGTTTCTTCCTTCCTCCCTCCCCCACCTTTTCTTTTGCTCCCTGCCTCTCCATTTTCTTCCTTCAATCAGATCTTTTCCTTTCCATCCCACCCCTTTCCTTCATTTTAAAGCCGTGGCACAGTCTGGTGCACTTGGAGCCAATGAAGGCCAGGCAGAGGTGGCCTTGATGTGGCCCCGGGAGGTGGCCAGGGCTACGGGTTTGTTCCTGATGGTCTCGTAACTAAGGGAGTGATGCCTCCCACCTTTTTAATATCTGGGTCACTGCTGGAAAAATAACCAAGTGTAACTTGAAGCTATCAGTTTTAAAGAACGAAGAATATAGGAGGAAATGAAAAACTGAATAATAATATTAATTGTATTCTAATTCTACATTATGGAAAGTGGATGGAAGAGGAAAGGAAGAAAAATAGAGAAGGGTAAGCGTGCTAGCCACTAGCGAGGAACGGAGACACTCATTAGTACTGATGTTTTTGTTTTTGAGACAGGGTCTCACTGTGTAGTTCAAGCTGGCCCTTAACTCACTGTGTAGCCCAGGCTGGCTTCAAATCCACAGTGCTCCTCCTGCCTCAGCTTCTCGAGGCTAGGAGGATGCCACCACACCCAGGGAGTACAGATTTTCAAATGAAACTTTTAGAGGTGAAGAAAATGAAACAATTAGATTTCGGTATGAAAAACATTGTCTCCTGCATAAAAACCTAAAATATGAGAATTTGGAAAAGTCTTTTTTTCCCCGATTATTAGTGACTCTTTGCATGCTTTGAAAAGTTATGGGGAAACCCACCTTTTGTGGAGGAAGGTGGCTAGTTTTGTTGAGTAACATAGTAAGATTTTGAAGTATTACTTCTGATACTTTTTAAGGTCTTGTGTTTCACAGTTAGGTGCATGGCCAAGAGACAGCCTGGTATTTATTCATTACTCCTGAAAATGGGAACCGGAAGCTGTCTGTCCCCTCACTGGTTCCCAGAAGCTGCTTCGTGATCTCAGGGCAGAGGGTTACCCTTGGGTGCTGAGCTGGTGCTTTGTGAAGCTTCCCTGCTACCTTGGTGCCCCGATTTCCTCTGAGGGTGGTCAGTGGCTGTGGGGTCCTTTGCCTCTGACCTGTCTGCATCTTATTTGAAAGAGTGATTTTGGGGAGCTCACACAGTTTGACACAGAATGACACTAAAATACGATTGGTGATTGGCTTGGACTTGCAGTGCTGGCCAGAAGAGCTGTCCAGGAGTACATCATCACAGCCATCAAAGAGGTGCTGAAGGTGCATTTCAGACGTGCCGTGGAGCTGCAGGTGAGTCCCTGAGGTCTGGGGTGAGTGGGTCGGCGGGGGACAACAGTGCAGGGTCCTTCTGTTTCCCCTGTCCCACCCCTCTCCTGGCTCACTGCTGCCTCTGCTCTGGTTCTGTGCTCATTTTTGTGAGGGAAGCCTTTCCTGGCTCCAGACAGGGTGGCGGGGATGTGTTGACGCAGGTAAAGCAAAGGGCTCTGGGCCCGGGGCAACCTTTTGGGGTAATGTCCATGACAATTTTGCTTTCCTTGATTCATGTTAAAGGACTTGGGTTTGAGTTTAAATTTCAAGTTTAAACTAGATTTTAGAAACATTTGCATCTTCTGTACACTCAGTGGGATACAGATGGATTTATATATCTTTTAATTTTTGAGACAGGTTCAGGCTGGCCTTGAACTCACTATGTAGCCCAGTCTGGCCTTGAACTCATGGTGATCCTCCTGCCTCAGTCTCTCATGTGCTGGCATTATAGGCATGCCCATCTGTTATATGGACGCTGTGACAGTGGTCCTTTCCCAGAGTGGCTCAGGGAGCCATGCTTATCTGGACCCATATTGTCCCTAACCAGAGCTGGGAGCTACAGTGGCTGTGGAACTCATGAAATAGGGCTCAGCTGAATTTTTGAGATGTGCTCCCAGTGGAAAATACACACTAGATTTTAAAAATGCAAGAAAAACATAAAATAGTTCACCTATGCTTTTTGTATAGAAGTCAAATTGACTGCAGTTTCAAATATACTGGGTTAAGTAAAATGTATGTGGGATTAATTTTGTCCAATTCTATGTTTCTTAATGTGGCTGCTAGAAGTTTTAAAATTGCATGAGTAGCTTGCATTATGTTTGTTTCAAATGGCGGCATCCAGTTGAGTAAGAACTCTTTCCTGTGTGCGTGATACACAGTAGCCAACTGAATTTTCCTTAAGTCCTTACTCAATTCATATCACCAGCTTTTCTTGTATATTGTTTTTTGTAGTTTTGTGTTGTTTTTGAGAAGTTTGGAAGAATATAAAAAGAGTCGCTCAAATGAAATCTTTTTTTTTTTTGGTCTTTTTCGTTTTTATTGGTACCAGGGATCGAACTCACGACTGCACACTTGCAAGGCAGGCGCTTATGCCACTGAGCTAAATCCCCAGCCCCACTCAAGTGAAATCTTGATTGGATATGAAGCAATACTTTTTCATTCAAACTGATCCATTTTTAAACAATTTATTATTTTCTTCTCCAACACCAGTCCTTTAAGTTTGAATCATCGTTGGTATATTTCATTTCCCTAGGTTTATGAACTTTTCACTGACTTCACTTTTCTGGTAACATCTGGTCCTTTCGTGTACACGGCAATATCAGTCATCAATGTCCTCATCAACAGCAAACTCGTGCGGGACCAAACTCCTTTAATCCTGTCTGTGAAGCCTTCATTCCTGGTGCCTGAGTCTAGGTTCCAAGTTCAGACAGGTGAGCACTGAGCATAGCAGCTCTAATTTGTAAGTGGAGTTTTTTTGTGTATATATTTTTTAAAATAACAGATTGTTTTTAAATTGTATTCTTTGAAATAAAGTCCTGCTATGTTGTCTAAGCTAGCCTTGAACTCCTGTGTGCCACCATACCTGGCTTTATGATTTATTTAAAACACCAAGTTTTATAATTATAGAAAAATTCAAGGCCATATAGAAGTATAGAGAATCTGTTAACGAACTGCCATGTGTCCACTGTATGATTCCAGCAGATTTCAACTCACTACCCAGTCTCCTGCTGGACCCCAGTCCACTGCCCCTGTGACATCATTTTCAGTAAGTCTCAGGCAACATATTTCATTTTCAGTAAGTCTCAGGCAACATATCTCACTGAGAGATACTTTAGCTCTTATCTGTAAGAGAAAAGGCCACACAGACACACACACTCCATCCACAATATCATGCCCCCTAAAGCTAATAGACATTCTTTAATATCACACTGCACCTTTATTGTAAACACATATAAAAGTAGAATAATATATTACTCTCACATGTGCTCATCACGAAGCTTAAGAAATAATTAAGATTTTACCAATTTTGTTTTATTTCTCCCCTGCAGACATTTTTTTGAAGAGGTGAGAGTGTTTTATGGCAATATCACATACAATGTCATTCAACCAGTAAATGTGTAAGAACTCATCACTTATAAGTGTGTCTTGCAATTCTTATCCTAAGAATTTTTCCATTTTAAAACAGTGCCCATCCCCTTCATATTGCCGGTGTTGATTTGGTACAGAGTCGGCTGTCTGCATATATAGGAGATGACACATAGAATGACTCACTGTTGGCTTGACACCAGCTGGGTAGCTCTGCCTGTCTCTGGCTGCCCCAGAAGGCAGTTGAGTAGCTTCTCATCAAAGATGTGGCCCACTGCAACCCTGATAAGCAAGTGGGCAATGTACCACTTCCCACAGCCATGGGAGACAGCTGGTCAGCCTGCCTGGAGCAGTTTGCCCTCAGAAGTCCTGCAGGTCACTCTTGGGACCCTGGGACAGTGACCAGTGCCCCATTAGTCCCATCAGTGCATTCGGGCTCCTATAATGCCTCCAGACACTGACCCACCAGCAGCAAACTGCAGCACCCCCACCTGGGCCCCTTGGGCCTCATGCAGGCTATGAACCTGATGTGTACCTCATAACTGATAGTGTAACCCCACATCCCCTGAGCCTAGGTCACTGAGACAGCTAAATATGTTGCCAATGTTGATTGTAGCTGAAGAAGCTATATAGATGTCAAGTTAAAACATCTGCCTGGAACCAGAATCACACGGCTTTTTCAACAAACACCCTGCCAGGATGCCCTGCCAGGAGAAAGTCATTCATTAGAAAAGCCATCCAGTACAATTGGTAGAGGCAATACAGACACACAGACATCAATGCAGGGACATACTAAGCATGGAAAAGAAATGTAAAATGATACCTTCAGAAGGAATGTTCTGTAGCAGGAGACCTTAAAAAAAAAAAATCAGTGAATTACCTGAGAAAGAATTCAAAATAATGATTATTAATATTTGGTTTTTCTGAGACAGGGTCTCACTATGTAGTCCCGGCTGGCCTTGAAGTCATGGTAATCCTCCTGCCTCAGCTTCTTGAGTGCTGGGACTACTGGCATGTGCCACTACATCTGGCTCTCAAAATAATGATTCTAAGGAAATTTAATGGGATATAAACAGTTCAGCAAAACTAGGAAGACAATCAGGAATGGGAAATTCAGCATGAAGTTAGATATAAAAAGAATGAAACAAGTCACAGAGCTAAAGAACACAGTGAGTGAAATAAAAAAGTACAGTTAACATTTTCAACAGCAGAATGGATCAGGCATAAGAAAAAAAGTTAAAAGATTGAAAAAAGCTTTTGAGACAAATGGGACACCATGAAGTGCAGAGACAGTCACATGATCAGGTTCCGAAGGAGAGAAGAAGAGAGGCATAGACAAACCAGTTCGTGGAATATTGCTGAACATGTTCCGGTTCTTGAGAAAGCAAATATCCAGATCCAAAAGCTCAGAAGATCCCCTCATAGAGTCACCTAGAAAGATTTTCCCTGAGATATATTATAGTCAGACAGTTAAAAGTACAAGACAAAGCGAAAATTCTGAAAAAACAACAGAAATGTCAAGTCATATACAAGAGAATACCCACTGCACTGACAGCAGACTGCTCAGGTCAGGAGAGAAGGGGATGGTACAGTTCTCAAATGAAAAAAAGAAAAGCCAAAATTTATGAGAAATGTTTGCTTGTCTTGCAGAACACTCCTACAAACTACTTGCAATCCTAGGTTTTACTGTGCATGCAAATTAAATGACATTGTTATGAATGACTAGTGTATCAATGAAATAAAGTGCAATTTAAAAATCTCTTCAAACAAATGAAAGTGAAAGCACAACATACCAAAAACTTACGGGTTATAGCAAAAGCAGTGTTATAACTGATACCAATAAGTGCCCGCAGCACAAAGACAGATTTCAAATTAACCTGTGCTGGGACAAATCCAAAATTAGTATAAGGACAGAAATAACACATTAGAATGGGAAAAAAAATGGAAAAGATTTAAAAATTTCAAAAGATTGATGAAATGAAAAAAATTGGTTTTTACAAAGATTAACAAATTTAACCAAAATTATATATATGAGGCAGTTCATATTATGTTGCCCAGGCTGGCCTCCAACTCACAGCTATCCTTCTGCCTCAGCCTCGCAAGTGCTGGGATTACAGACATGTACCACTATGCCTGGCCTTGAGAAATCATTAGTTGGCTGGGGAGAGGAAGAACTGAGAGAGGGGAGAGAGAGAAAGAGAGACCCAAATAAATCAAGATGAAAAATGAGATACAATTGATAGCACAGAATTACAGAACACTCATAGAGACTGTTGTGCTCATCTGGACACCAACAAATTGGAAAATCTCGAAGGAATGGAGACATTTCTTGGACACATACAACCTACCAAAATTGAACCATGAAAAAACCTAAACACATTAGTAAGTACTAATGAGCTTGAATTAATAATGAAAACCTTCCCAACAAAGAAAAGCCCAGAATTAGGTGGCTTTACTGATGAATTTTATCACAGAAATAGAAAAAATCCCAAACCCTGTAAAATTTATATGGAACCACAACAGACTCAGGATAACCAAGGCAATCCTGAGCCAAAATGACAAAACTGGGGGCATTACACTACCAAACTTCAAACCATACTATGAAGTCATGGTCTCAGAAACACATGATATAATGTAAAAAAAGAGATACATACATCAATGATCAGAATAGAGGAGAGACCTATGTGTTCATAGCAACTAATGTTGGAGAAAGGACAGCCTTGTCACTAAAATTTCAAATTTTCTTCTTGGAGAGAAAGGAAAGGAAGTGAGATCTATATCCAAAAGACAGAAACTAGAACCTTATCTCTTACTGTATATAAAAATTAACTTAAAATGGATCAAAGACTGTAACATGAGACCCAACACTGTGAAACACTGAAAGAAAACACTGGGGAAATGTGTTAGGACATTGGTTTGGCAAAGCCTTTTTGGCTATGACCTTAAAAGCACAGCTAACAAAAGCAAAAATTGACAAATAGAATTACCTTAAACTGAAAAGTTTCTATACAGCAAAGGAAACTATCAGAGAGAAGAGACTGCCCATAGAATGGGAGAAAATATTTTCAGATTATGTATCTAACAAGGGATTCATTTCCAGTTTATGTAAGAAACTTAGCAAAAGGAAGTTAACAGCAGAATGTCAAGTAATCCTCCTGAAAAAAGGCAAAGTGACCTAAATAGACATTTCTCAAAAGAGAATCTACAGATGGCCAAAAATATATGAAAAATGTTCAGTATCACTAATCATCAGAGAAATGCAAATCAGAACCACAGTGAGGATTCTCGCTTCCATTTGACTGGTTATTATAAAAAAACAAAAAACAAAATAACCAATGCTGGTAAGGACGGGTAGAAAGGGGGACTCCTCTGCACTGTGAGGGGAAGGTAAGTGAGCACCGCCATTATGGAAAGCTGTAGGAAGAGTCCTCAAAACACCATAAGTTGAACTGCCATAGGGATCAAGAATCCCACTACTGGAAATGTAGCCAAAGGAGTTGGACTCAGTATGTCCAAAAGACACTAGCATTCATGTGTTAAATTGTAGCTCTATTCCTGGTAGTAATGATGTGCAACCGACCTAGGTGTTTGCTGACAGATGAATGGGTTAAGAAAATGCGGCGTGTATGCATAGCAGTGTATCATGCAGCTGCCAAGAAAACCGAATGCCTCTCATTTGCAGCAAGGTGGGGAGAGAACTGGAGAGCATTATATTATGTAAAATAAGTCAGGAAGAAAAAGCCCAATACCACGTTCCCATTTATTTATAAACTAACAAGTGGATCTTAAAGAGGGAGAATGTAGAATAGCGCTTATTAGAGACCAGGAAGGGTGTGGGGAAGGAGTGATTTGAGAGACAGGTAAACAGGAAGAATACCTTCTAATGTTCTGCGGCGCCACGGGATACCTGTGGTGGACAGATGTAAGTGTATATTTCAAAACAGGAGAGACAATTTCCAGTATTTCCAGTATTTCCAACGCAAGTATGATAAATGTCCGAGATCACAGAAATGCCAGTTTCCCTGATGTGGTCAGCGACATTATATTTATCTGTTGAAATGTTACCCTGTACCCCAGAAACATGTGCAATTGATAGTGCTCATTAAAAACAAAAATGTATTTTAAAAGATTATATTAAAATATAACACTTGAACTTGTGCTTTGATGAATTCGTTGATTGCAGTGCTGGTCTCTTCCCTCTCTTTATTCTTTAATCCTTAAAAAAGATCTCATTCACGGGGCTTTGATTGCTGTTCTTCTTTTCAGTACTTCAGTTTGTGCCTCCGAGTGTGGATACCGGTTTCTGCAACTTCACCCAGCGCCTGGAGAAAGGCCTGATGACGGCTCTGTATGAAGTGAGAAAGCACCAGCAGGGCACCTATAACCTCACTGTGCAGGTGAGGATGCCGCCGAACGCAGCGTAGAGTGCTTCGTCTTTTAAAAGTGAAATTTTCCTCCGTGCATCCTTTTCATGGTGCTTCACCCTCCCTGTGGGCTGGCCGAGCCTCTGTGGAGATTGCAGAATGGCTGATAACCAGGGCTCTCAGGATGAGGGGCCTGTGGGAGTAGGACCAGGTGCAGGAGATTCAAGACCATCAGGAAGAAAATGGTCCCCAATAGAGGCATGAACCAACATGCTGGGGTTTTCCTACAGCCTGAGTATGAAAATGCAGATCAAAATACACAGGGCCGGAAGTGTTTCAGATTTGGGAGTTTTTAGATTTTTGGAATATTTGTATAGACTTCCTTACTTGAGCTTCCATAGTATGAAAATCTGAACTCTTTGAACACACTGGTATTGAAGGAATTTCAGATTTTGTAGTGCTTCAAATTTTCCGAGAAAGGATGCTCTGCCTGTGTTCTGGAATACAGCGAGGCAGAGGATACGGATTCTGATTCAAGAATTGCCTTTGTATGTCTCGGATAGCAACTTGATATTTTTATGTCTTTGAATTTTTCCCTCTCTGTAGTCTTTGCTTGCTCTGTTGCGATGCATGATGACTAAATTTCGGCACTCCTGGACTTGCCTTCTGTCTTTCTTATTTTGTGCTTATATTTTCCATATCTTTTTATTGTCTGTTTTTACTGATTTTCTACACCCTACCCTGCAGTCACTAATTTAGTCTTCAGTTGTGACTGGTGGAATTCAGTCCTTCTGTTGAGTTTTCTTCAGTCATCATTTTTTCCCTTTTCTCGTCTCCTTTTCCCTGCAGCCTTTCTTGCGATGGCTCAGGCCCCTTTCAGCCTCTCTGTGTGCAGCACCTGGGACTTTTAAACAATCTGCCTTCCATTTCCGACCATAGCTCTATTTTTTCTGCAGTCCTCGGTCCATGCGTTGGTCTTGGTATTTGACTTTGTGCTGTTGGTTTCCTATAAATGTGTGGACATTGCTGATTGGCCACTTGTTAGGGATGCAGAACCAAGATGTGAAATTTGGCTGCTGGTCCAGCTTTCCTCTTCAGCCTTGGGGTCCATTTCTGTGTCAGCTTTGTCCCCTGATGGGAGACCTCTCAGGCTCAGGGAGCTGGGCAGGATGTGTAGGCGTGGGCTTCTTTCTCCCTGCAGAGTGTGCAGGGCCAGGCTGAGGAGATGCTCTGGGGATGGCCCTGCTGAGGGCTTAGGGCACAGCCTCCTTTCGGTCCTTTCCCTTTGTCTCTTGCACACCCTGGTGCACACTGAGGTTTGCCTGTCTCTGCCTCCTCCTTGCTTGGAATCTGGACCTGTGAGAGCCTTTCAGCAGCTCTTCTGTCTGGGAGGAGGTGTGGCTGCTATCCTGAGAGGCCTGGGTGTGCCGGGAGGGGAGAGAGGAGGAGGAGACTGACTCAGCTCCTGGGTCTGCTGAGTTTTAATTCATTCTGCTGATTAGGGCTGGGCGCCAGCGCCCACTTCCACCTGAGTTCTCTGCTCTCTACCTGGACCTCTTCTGGCCCCAGTGTGTGTGTGTGTGTGGGGTGGGGGAGGAGAGTAACTCCCAGCTGGGCTGTGGTCTGGGCCTGTGAGTGTTTTGGTCTTGCTTCCCTGGGTTCTGCTTTATTTCGTTATGATCCTGTCCTTTTTCCGTCTTCCAGCAATTTGACAGCATTTTTGGTTTTCTTCCATTCCCAGTGCCGCTGTGGATTTCACCCCCTTCATTCAGTTTACTATTATTTCAGTGAGATCTGGGGTGGAAGCAGAGGGGAGGTGCGTATAAATACATGTGTCCAGGTGATCACTTAGGATATAAAAAGCATTTTCAGTATTTCAAGTGTTTAGAATCTTGCAAAAGGGAGCCAGGTTACACGGCCAGTTTCTCTTTCTTAAAATCACCTTTTATTTACTTTAAAAAATATTTACTTATTTATTTATTTTTGTCTTTTTGAGACAGGGTCTTGCTATGCAGTTCAGGCTAGAGTTGAGCCACTTTGTAGCTCAGGCTGGCCTCAAACTCTCAACAATCCTCCTTCCTCCGGCCTCCTGCTGGTATACGCCACAGGTATACGCCACCATGCCTAGCTACCACCTTTAAAAAAATGGATCAGGGAACCTGTGAGAGAGACCTTGTTAGGCTATCAGCTCAGCATGTTATTTCAGAAGCTTCTTCTGACTTCCTTCTTTCAGGTCTTGAACGTCACAGTGGGCTCAAGGGCAGCCCCCCGGCGGGGCCCGGTCAATGTGGTCTTCGCTGTTAGGAGTGCGCAGGGGTTTGTGAATGGCTCGGAGGTGAGCGAGCTGCTCCGGAACCTGAGCGTGGTGGAGTTCAGCTTCTACCTGGGGTACCCAGTGCTGCAGATCGCAGAACGTGAGTCCACCCTGCTTCGGGAGCTGGGGGAAGTGATGGGGGATTTATTGTCATGGGTAGATTTCTTTTTCAAAAATATTTTTTAATTTTTAAAAACTACTTGCGGATCTTAAAACAGTTTGGAGGTCAAAGCAAAAGTGTTCCACAGGCATGGAGATTTCCTCTGGACCCTGCCTTCAATAGCCTGGCTCATCACCGGCTGCCCGAGAGTGGCCGATAGTTACAGCCTGTGAATCCACGCCACTGTCCCCAGAGTCCCTTTTTTATGCTGGGCTCTCTCTTGGTGGTGTAGCCACCATGCAAGCATCCTACAGGGTGGCCTCTTCTAGGTCTTTCTTTTCAAGGGAGTGTTTGATCGAAGTCCAGAGTATAATCAAATAGAATCAGAACTTCCCAGATTCCAAGCAGGGTGGGCCTTCAGAGCCCTGCTCAGGCACTGTGCTTCTCTACTTTTTGCTTTTGAGAGTAAAGAGATGCTATTAAAAACTACTCTAAGCCTGGGCCAAGGGTTTAGCTCACTGGCACAAGTGCCTGCCTGGCAAGTGCAAGGTCATGAGTTCGATCCCCAGTTCCAAAAAGAAAAAAATCAATTAAAAAGTACTCCAAACCTAAGTGTGGTGGGGCATTCTGTTACCCCAGCTATTGAGGAGGCTGAAGCAGGAGAATCTTGAGTTCAGAGCTGGCTTGGGCAACTTAGCAAGACTTTGTCACACACACACACACACACACACACACACACACAGAAGAGAAGAGAAGACACGGATGACTATATATCTTGGTAGTAGAGTGTTTGCCTGGCACTTGGTGAGGTTCTGGGTTCAGTCCCCAGTACCACAAAAAACAATGAACAGGAGGAAAAAAAATAGCAAACAAACAAAAGCTTTTAACAAATCCAAACAAAACCAAATGAAAAAAAATTACTCCAGTTCTGGAAGAGGCTCATCTATAGGAGGGAGAACAGATCCGTGGGTGTTAGGGTTTATGTTGGGTGCAGAAGTGACTGAAAAGGGGGCTATTCAAGGGTGGCTCTTGGGGTGACAGGACTCGAGGTGTCTTCCCTGCAGTGGTGGGTGTGTGACTGCCTGCATTTATCAAAACAGGGAAAACTGGGGGGAATTTTACTGGGTATAAACTTATCAATAAAAAGTAACAAATAGAAGTGAAGCCTTTCATTCCCGTGGAAATGGTTAGATTCCCAGTGCATTTGGAGGTGTTGCAGGAGGATGGGGGTGGAGGGGGTGAGCTCTTCAAAAACAGTAGATTCCAGAGTTGAATTGGGGAAAATTTTTTTTTCCAGAATGGAAATGTACAGTTCTCTCAGCGATGCCCAGTGTAGTTTGGCTAAAATCCTAGGTGTGCTGGGCGGCAGGGGCGTGCTGTGACGGTCAGTGGGCAAGAAGCCAGGATGTGTTGTCACTTTCCCCGAGTCACTGCCGGGAAGCCCCAGGGCTCCGAGGGCACAGTGATGTGCATGCGACGTGAGGGGACCCCTCTTGGAAGCGGTATCTGCTTCCCTTTTTTCCTTGTCCCATAGATGCCAGTACACACAGACACAGCTCCCTGCCGTGGTCCTCCCACAGTGAGAGCGAAGCATGGTGGGGAGGCCAGTGCGCTGGGACTCAGCCGTGTCCCCGTGTCGGAATATCTGCCTTTTTGACCAGTGCTATGTGCTTCTTGCCAATTTCTCTCCTGCCCTGACTCTTTCCTTGGTGCAGCCTTCCAGTACCCACAGCTCAACTTATCTCAGCTGCTGAAGTCCTCTTGGGTCAGAACAGGTATGTGGAACTTCAGTAATGTTTTGAGAACATTAAGAAGTCTCGGTATATTGAGAAAGGACCCGCCTTTCCTGTTGACTAAAATCAGGGCAAAATGTACTTTACATTCTTGGCAAAGAATGAATGAGAAAAGAGTTCAAATGGGCCATGGGAATGTGTCCCATGGAGTTATGGCATGGAAAGGATTGGTTTTCTGTGAAATTCAGACATCCAGTGTGGGGCAGAGTCTCGCTGGGAACAGACGGTCTCTTGACCTAGAACAGGGTGAGGTTCAGAAGCAAAGTTTTTTTTTCCCCCTAAAACTGTTATTTGTGTGGCTTTCTAAGGGTGTTGAAGGTAACTTGGCAAGCCTTTTTAGGGCCTGGTCAGATGCTCACAGCAAGCCTGCTGCAGAGAAACACCATCTGACCCGGTCCTTGGGAGCCCAGCGAGCTGCGTAGTGCCTGGTCACAGGCAGAGATCTCCACTTGTGGGATCTCCGAACCATACAAATTCCTGCTTTCCATACAGCTTCCCATGCTGGGGCCCACCCCTCTGCATGCTACCTGGCCCCATCTTTCAAATAATTTACATAGCAGTTAAGAGGACAGGGCTGAGAGGACAGGGCTTCCTGCACCCTCCTCACCTTGTGCAGGGTGCTTCTCTCCTTGTTAATGTTTCCTCCAGGGCCATTACTTTTAAACGTATGCTCATACCCTCCGCCCCCACCTCTCCACCGCTGACTTGCTTTTGGTGCTGTGTTCCCTGTTGACTGCAGTCCTCCTGGGTGTTGTGGAGAAGCAGCTGCAGAGTGAGGTGTTTCAGGCGGAGATGGAGCGCAAGCTGGCCCAGCTGCTCAGCGAGGTGCCAGCCCGGAGACGCGTGTGGAGGAGGGCCACGGTGGCCGCTGGCAACAGTGTGGTGCAGGTACTCTTGGGGGAGGGGAGGAAGAGATGGAAAACCTGCTGTTTCATCCTGCAAGTGGGAAATGCCAGCGGAAGTTTTGATTTGGACCGGAAGCAACTGATGTGGCCCCAGCGTGGGCCAAGTAGAGTCCAGGGGAGGTGTTAACGGGACCCCTACGAAGTGGTTGGTTTACCCTTAGACCCCAGAACATAGTAGAAGACCTGTTAGTGGGTTCCCGTACTACTGCAAGACCTTTATCAGAGAGCAGTTTTTTAATTAGAGAAAATGTAGCCAAATGTGGAATGGTCAGTATCACCAGTAGCACTGTAGAGATGAATCATCTGGAAAAAACCTAAGAGATTTTTATTTTGGGGGGTTTTTTGAGACAGTATCTCACTGTGCAGTCCAGGCTGACCTTGAACTCTCTGCAGTCCTGGATGTTGGGATCACAGGCCTGGCCAGGAGGCAGACTTTCTGCCCCCTACTCTAGCATTTCACCCTCTCCACCTCCTGCCAACCCAGTTGTCTTCTGTTTCCCTGGACCTTCACTGTGGTAAATTGCAGGCAGGTTGCGAAAGACAGAGCTGTTTGAATTGAAAAGTGACCCATTTTACAATGCACACACTCCCAGGAGGTTGGCGGTTAGGACTATGACTTTTTCTCATCTCTTCATGAGTGATGTGGATTTTTTTTTCTTCTCTACCAACTGCAGACTTGGAGGACCAGGAAAATGAATGGGGTATTTAGAGCTATGGCATCTCAGAGTCAGGACAGCAGGGTAAAGCGCAGAGGTGCAGGGTGGGGCTGGCAGGTGGCGTGGGAGGTGGGTGATGTGCAAACTTAAGATAGAGATACCGCCTAGGGAATGAGCCGTGTGGCCAATTGCTTATAAACCACATTCTGCCCCTGTTTCTCCTCAGTGGCTAAGCATAAAGATGTAGGTAAGGAACTACGTACAGTGGTACAGGGCTCCCCATCATGTCAGTGTGAAAATATCACTAGTCTACAAGTCCAGTGGCCGGGGAATGGATAAATAGTGACTTTCACAAGTTGGAATACAATGCATCCTTTAAAGAAATAGTGAGATACGTGAGAAAATGGTGAAATGAAGAGAGGGTACAAAAAGATATATGTAATATAATCCAAAAACTAATGTAGAGTTCCTGGGGAAAAAGGTCCCAAAATGTTTATGGTGCTTTTATCAATTGAATTTCAGGGAATTCTTGCTTTCTTCTTCTTCTTCTTCTTCTTTTTTTTTGGTACCGGGGATTGCACTCACGACCTTGCATTTGCCAAGCAGGCACTTACGCCACTGAGCTAAACCCCCGGCCCCTCTTGCTTTCATCTTTATCCTTTTTGCTTTTCAAAATGTCTCCAGTGAGCCATATAATGTCAATAATGAGCATGTGATTTTGGTCGGAAACTCATTTTGTGTTTTGCTTGTTTGTTTTGTGGTGCTGGGGATTAGGCTTATGCCTGCAAGACAAGTGCTCTACCACTGAGATATGTATGTCCAGCCCCAGAACCTGATTTTGAAGATGAAATTGAAAATATTACCCAAGTGGTGACCCTGGGATAGCACGGTTCCAGATAGGGGTCTGATTTACAATCACTCAGAAAGGGTGTTGGGATTAGACTTTCTGATGCAGTCTTTAATTAAGGTGGCTATGATTTCTACCAGAAGAAACCATACTTTCTACATTTATTAGAACTTTTAAATAGAATCCACTACATTCCTAATAGGCCTTTCGTGGAGCTTCATTCTAAAGCTAAGGACACATCACTGGAGCACATTGTGGGGCAGGGGTAGGTGGCTATGGAGTAGATGTGTTTGGGAACGTGGCCTCAAAACACCAAGCAGAGGGCAGAACAGAGGATGAAGGGTAGCACACATTCTTGAGGTCCCAGGATTCAGGACTGTGACATCAAGGATCTTTGAGGAAGATCCTTGAGGAAGGCATTCACAGTGAAATCAGGGAGTTGCCACAAGTTTTCCCATGGCCAAGGGTGGGTCCAGCTGCTATTCCCAGAGTGCAGGGTAGTGTCACAAAAATACATATGGATAGAGATATAGCAGCTGCGTTTTGCAGACTGCAAATATACAGATCAAAAATTCCAGTTGCCTGTGTCAGACAAAGCATGTGTGGGCCATTTTCTCAGAACATTAGCCCCTGTTTTGCTGGAGTCGAGAGGGACAAATAAAGGATTTCACACTATTAGAAATGGCAACAAAATAAAAATGCCTTTTGGTGCAGTACTTAGTATGCCAAGCGTACTAGATTCTGAGTACTGATGTGAAAGAACCGTCCTTTAACACACACGCACACATGGACAGAAGTTCTGGGGTAAATCAGAGCTCTAGTTGATCCACAAGAGCACAAGTTTATGGAGTTTATTATGTTTGCAGACATTTTGATTGTCACATTGGGTGGTGTATTACGGGGCGTGCACTGCTGGCCCACAGCTGGTGGAGAGCAGGGATCCTGCTGACACCCTGTTTTCGTCAAAGAATTATCTGCCCAGAATAGCCACACTTCTGAGGTTTTGGGAGGAAGCAGAGCTAATTGGTTCAAGAGTGGGTTAGGAAGAACCATTTGTAGGTGGAAGGTTAGTGTCACTTTCTTGTGACACGATAGCCTGTAGAGGCATCTTAGTAACAATTCCAGACTGCCCGGACTTGTGACCAGGCGTGTATGTTCTCTCTTACTGATGGAAAGAACCCGTATGACCAGGGGCTCTGGTGTAAAGAGATTAGGGAGGCTGGAGTCGTTCCTGGTGACACAGTCAGGATTCAGTGGCCTGAGACGGGGAAATGGGGAAACGGGAGCTCGCCTGATGCTGACCGCTGACTGCTGTTGTGACCGCTCAGGTGGTGAATGTGTCCAGGCTGGAGGGGGAGGACGATCCCGTGCAGCTCATCTACTTTGTGGAGGATCAGGATGGAGAGAGACTCAGCGCCGTCACATCCTCTGACCTGATTAACAAGATTGACCTCCAGAGAGCAGCCATTATCTTGGGATACCGGATTCAAGGCGCCCTTGCTCAGCGTAAGTTTGGGGGTGTGTTGTCTAGACTGTTCTGACAGTGAGCCCTGAATGTACAGTGTTCTGATGTGGGTACAGTAAATTTGTGTCTTAAGCCTTTGTGAACAGGCACTGTATGTAAAATGGTTTTTTTTTTTTTAGTTCTGAGGCTCAACTACAGGGGTGGTTTGCCACTGAGCTATACTCTTGTGCCTTGTTTTGTTTATTTGTTCACGCTAAATTGTCCAGGTGAGACTTGAACTTGTGATCCTCCTGGCTCAGTCTCCTCCCTGGGATTGCAGGTGTGAGTCTGGCCTAGGATGCTTGTGGTGTTCATGTGCTGAGGTCTTCTTCTTCTTTTTTTTTTTTTGTCTTTTTTAGACAGGGTCTCTCTATGCAGTTTAGGCTGGCCTTGAGCTCACTTTGCAGCCCAGGCTGGTCTCGAACTCACAAGGATTCTCCTGCCTCAGCCTCCCATGTGCTGGGATTACAGGCATGAGCCACCACGCCCCAGCTCTGTTGAGATTTTAATCACACATTTCACTTGCCTATTGTGGCCACTGGGGCTGTTTTTCTTACCCAGTATTTTGCATCCACAGTGTTGTATAGTGAGTTATAGTCAACTTTTTTATTTTTTTGAGACAAGAGCTCGTTATGCAATCCAGGCTGACCTCAGACTCATGGTGATCCATCCTGCCTCGGCTTTCTGAGTGCTGGAATCAACTTTATTTAACATCCTTTCTTGTATTTATTTATTTGTTTATTTTAAAAAGCAAAACAAGGAAAAAAAAAAAGGATAGAAATGATGCAGAGTTTCAGAAAAGGAAAAAATGTAGGGAATTAACCCTAGTCAATATATTATACATTGTTATCTCAGAACTAGTTGCTGAGATTATAAAATCTAGACACCAAAATGATCAATCAAACAATGACAGCACAAACTGTTCTTTTTAATGAACTAAGAGAGATTATCTATAGTATAGTAGTATAGTTATCTATGTAGCAAACATATACATACATATATTTATATATGTTTACCAACATATTTATAATTTTTACCTTTCTTCCTATCCCATTAGTTCTGTCCTTTTGAGCACTTTCTTTCCCTTTCATTATTACAGTATCTATTGTATATTTTGGATCTTATTACTGTGTCAGGTTTTTATTTTTTATTATTTTTTATACTAGGGAGGCAATACAATATTTATAAATATGAGTTTGATTTATTCACTTATGAGTATGGTCTCAAGTTGCCTCCATTTACCTATGAAAGCCTCAAGATTATCCTTTTCATAGCTGAGTAATATTCCATTGTATAAAAATACCACATCTTTTTTTATCTATTCTGTAGTTGATGGCATTTTGGTTGTTTCCAAGATTTAGTTATTATAGCTATGTTTCCAAGATATAGCTATTATTGTGCTACTATAAACATGGGTGCATATATTGCTGTAGCATGACATTTTCAATTTTTCTGGGAAAATACCCAGGAGGGGAATAGCTGTATTAAATAGGACTTCCAATCCTAGTTTTTTGAGGAATCACCACACTGATTTCCACAGTGGCTGCATCAGTCTACACTCCCACCAACCGTGGAGCAGTGTTCCTTTTTCCCCACAACTCCTTCAACATTCGTTATCAGTTGATTTCTTGATGGCAGCCATTCTCTCTGAAGTGCGATGGAATCCCAGTGTTGTTTTAATTTGCATTTATTCAGTGACCAGTGATGTTGAGCATGTCTTCATGTGTTTATTTGCCATTTGTATTTCTTCATCTGAGAAATTCATGTTCATTTCAGATGCCCATTTTTGGATTGGGTCTTTGGATTTGGGGGCCCTGATGTTTTTCAGTTCTTTATATATTCTAGATATAGATCCTTTGTGTGGGTGACAGCTGGCTAAAATTCTTTCCCACTGTGTGGGTTTTCTCTTTATGCTGTTGGTAATTTCTTTTGATTTACAACAACTTTTTAATAAGAGGAGATTCTAGTTGTTGATTCTGGGAAGTACTTCCCATGCAATTTGTGTTTTGTTCATGAATTCTCTGCCTATCCCTATATCTTTAAGATTTCTACCTACCTTGTTTTCTTGTAGATTTAGTGTTTCTGTTTTAATATTTAGATCTTTGAACCATTTTGACTTTAGTGCATGGTGACAAACATGGGTCTGGTTTTAGTCTTCGGCATGTAGAAAGCCACTTTTTCCAGGACCATTTATGTTTAGCCCCTTTGTCAAATATAAGGTGGCTGAGTGTCTTTGTGGTTGTGTCTGCATCTTCTAATCTGTTCCATTGATCCTCAGGCCTGTTTTTTTTTTTTTTTCCCTAGTACCATGCTGATTTTAGCACTGTAGCTTTGTAGTATAATTTCAAGCCAGGGATTTTTATGCCTTGCCTTTGTTGTCCAGGATTGCCTTTGCTATTCTAGGTCTCTTCTGTTTTGTCTAGATCTATAAGGTATGTTATTGGCATTTTGATTGGAATTGCATTAAATCTGTGTAACAGTTTTGGGAGTATGGCCATTTTCACCATGTTGGTTTTTCCTAAGCAAGAGCAAGGGATGTCTTTCTTTTTTTCTGACATCCTCTTCAGTCTTCTTTTTCAGAGTACTGTAGTTTTCAGCATAGAGGTCTTTTACATCCTTTGTTAGGTTGATCCCTAAGCATTGCATTGTTTTGGATGCTATTGTGAAAGGTGTCATTTCTGTAATTTCTCTCTCAGTGAGTTTGTTGTATGTGTACAGCAATGCTATTGATTTTTGTGTGTTGACTTTGTATCCAGCTACACTGGTGAATTTGCTTATTAACTTTAGTAGTCTTGATATTGGGATATTTTGATATTTGATTTTGGGGATCTTCTATGTAAAGTATCATGTCATCTGCAAATAGTGATAATTTAACTTAATCCTTTCCTAACCTTATTCCTTTTATTTCTGTCTCTTGTCTGATTGCTCTGGCTAATGATCCCAGAACTATATTGAATAGGAGTGGTGACAGTGGACATCCTTGTCTTGTTCCTGATTTTAGTGAAAGCTTTCAGTTTTTGTCCATGTAGTATTATGTTGGCTGTTGGTTTGTCATAGATGGCTTTTATCAGATTGAGGTAGATATCATCTATTCCAAGTTTCTGTAGGATTTTTATCATGAACAAGTGTTGGACTTTATCAAAAGCTTTTTCTGCGTCTATGGAGATGATATTGTGATTTTTGTCTTTGGCTCTGTTGATGTGGTGTATTACATTTATTGATTTGTGAATGCTAAACCATCTCTGCATTCCTGGGATGAATCCCTCTTGGTGGTGGTGTATAATCTTCTTGATGGTTCACTGCATTCTGTTAGTATTTTATTGAGAGTTTTGGCATCCATGTTCATTAGGGAGATTGGCCTGTAGTTCTCCTTTTTGGTTGAGTCTTTCTCTAGTTTTGGTATTAGAGTAATACTTGCCTTCAGGAATGAGTTAGGAAGAATTACTTCTCTTTCAGTTGCATTGAAGAGTTTGAGGAGTATTGGCATTAAATCTTCTTTAAATTTCTTATAGAATTCAGCTATAAATTCATCAGGACCTGGGATTTTAAAAACATTTTATTTAAAGAGAGACTAAACAAAACAGAAAATGGGTAGAAATAATACATATGTTTAAAGAAAAAATAAACAGTAAGAAATCACTAGTTGATGTTTTCATACTAGGACCTGGGATTTTCTTTGTTGGTAAGTTTTTAATCACATTTTCAATTTCAGCAACTGATATTCGATTATTCAAGATTGTTATATCTTCTTAATTCAGCTGTGGTGATCCATAAGTTTCTAGAAATCTGTCCATTTCCTCTGTGTTTTCCACTTTATGTGAGTAAAGATTTTCAAAGTCAGTATTAATGATCTTCTGAATTTCCATGAGATCTGTAGTAGTTTCCCCTTTTTATTCCTTAGTGCATGAATTTAAGTTTTTTCTTTCTTTTCCTTGATAAAGTTGGCTAGAGGTTAATCACTTTTGTTTATTCTCTCAAAGAACCAACTCTTTGATTCAGTAATTTTTTGTATTGTTTTCTTAGTCTCAATTGCAGTAATTTCTGCTCTGATGTTTATAATTTCCTCCCTTCTATGACCTTTGGGCTTGACTTGCTCTTCTTTTTCTAGAAGCTTGAGATATAACATTCAGTTGTTTATTTGTGCTTGTTCTGTTTTCTTGATGTGACAATTCATTGCTATATGTTTCCTGCTTAGCATCGCTCTCACTGTGTCCACAGGTTTCGGTATGTTGTATCTGTATTTTCACTGATCGTAGAAATTGTTTAATTTCTTCTTTAATTTCACTGTAACCCATTGGTTGTTCAATTTGTTGTAATTTAATTTCTATGTGCTTGTGTAGATTTTACAGTTTCTTTTGCCATTAATTTCCAATTTCAGTGCACTATGGTCAGATAATACGCATGGGATAATTGCAGTCCCTTTGCATTTACTTAAGAATGTTTTATGGGATAATATATGGTCTATTTTAGAGAATGTCCCATGCACAGCTGAGAAGAATGTGTATTCTGATGTGGTTAGGTGGAACACTGTAAATGTTTACTAAGTCCATTTGTTTAGAGGTTTGATTCAGTTGTGTTATTTCTTTGCCAACATTTTGCCTAATTGATCTGTCTTTTTGTAACAATGGGGTATTAAGGTCCCCTACTACAATTGTGTTATTCCATATTTGGTTTTTCATGTCCATTAGTATTTGTTTTACATAGTTTGATGCTCCTGTATTTGGTGCATATATATTTATGATTGCTAGTTCTTCCTCTTGAATTATTCTCCTAACAAGTATATGGGGACTTTCTTTATCACCTATGATCATTTTTGGCTTGAATTTTAGATTATCTGCAAACAGAATAGCTACCCCTGCTTTTTTCTGGGTTCCTGTTGCATGGAATATTGTTTTCTATCATTCAACTTTTAGTCTATGAGTTTCCTTTTGAGTCAGACATGTTTCTTGTAGACAGTATATTGTTACATCCTGTTTCTTGATCCATTCTGTCAACTTATTTC